CAAACACGGACACACGGCGGGGGAGGCGGGCGAGGAGGGGGGAGGCCGGATCACATCTAAGCTACAGAAACAGCAAAGGCCGAAGCCCGACAGTTAGTACAAAAGTTCATGGAAACACGGAACATTGTCCGGACATTGTGGGCAGTTCTGTTCCGGCTGCGGAGCCACATCTGGGTCACATCCGTCACACGACACCTCAGCAGACCTGTGTGTGTGTCTGTGTGAGTCTGTGTGTGTGTGTGCTTGTGTGTTTCGGCGACACCGATCTGCCTCCAGCTCGACTCGCAGCGGCCTGAGACTGACAACTGCACTGGCAATGTTCTCGCTGTTTCTTCATGTAAACATGCTACTTACACTCAAACTCCTCCTTCAGACGACCGGATGACGAATGAACGACAAACACTGCAGCAGAGAAACTGAACCGAGCTCTCGTCGAAGCCGCTAACGACAAAATAAGATTCTTTAAATGTTTTTTCCCTGTATTGCACATCGAAACCACAAACCGCACAACCTGGAGGAGCGGCGGCGCAGCTCGCCCTCACATAAATAACCCTCTGTGAAGAAATAAATACAGATCTGAGCTGATGAGGAACACACAGAAACGAAGAGGCGAGCGAATGAGTCTGATGAGGAACCAGCACGCCGTCGGAGCAGTTAAAGGGGAAAATATATCAAAATCTGATCCGCTAAGTTCTGCAACGATGTCGTCTATTCTACCAGCTTCATATACTGATACTATTCTAAACAGTGTTTAGAAATACAAAAAAATCTGCCTTGGCTATATCTGCAAGGAAAAGATACAAAATTGGTTTTTAGAAAGTTTACAAAGGGTAAACGAATCCAATCTTTCTGATCTCGTAATAACAACAACAACAAACTCCACTTGTATAGCACTTATCGTTTGTGGGTGACGTGTTTGCGATGTGAAGTCCTCGCGTTCATAAATATATTCATGTGGCTGATATTAGGCAGTGTAGTAATCAATATTCAAGCTGATAGCTCAGGACTCGGCTCGGACACTTTAACCGACTTTTCAGCTTCGGACCTGGAAGGACCGAAGCTGAAACGTCAGGATGCCGGAGCTCATGTCAGGTTTTCTACTGGATTTAGCAGCTGATAGCTTTAGTCGCTTGTGAACTTTAGTTCCAAGTCTGTCATGCAAATACTGAGCGACGTGTTTCCGCTGAAACCAGCCTGCTGCGGAGCTCCGACTCTAGGATCAGTGCAGCACAATGAGATGATAGACCTTATTTAGTTCCGCTAGGACTCGCCTGCTGCTTGTTTTGTGCTCCGAGCAGAGACGTGGATGAACCGCAGCCATCCCGTGTTAAACTTCACACACTTCTCCCCTCACGTGTTGCACGCTAACGACAACAAGAACACGACACCATGTCTGAGGAACAGGAACACAGTGCAGCCTGGGCAGTTTGTACAGCTGGAAGCTTCAATACTAGAGTTTTACTGGAGCGTTTTCTTTAAGGCATTCTCTGTTTGTTGTCATAAAGCTGGAGACGAGCGTCCTGCAGCCGAATCACATCAGGAGTTTGTTTCCTCATAAATGCTGAATGTTTGAATCGTGCTGAAGTGTTCACGAGAACACTGCTGCTGCTGCTGCTAACGGTGGAGGACGAGTGTGTCGGGAACATGCCGCGGTAATGATCCGTCTGATACGACTACACTCTGGTGACCTCGGTGTCTGACTGAGTGCGACGGCTCTGACGGGGAAGAACGTCCTTTAGGTTCCTGTCAGACCGGTTTCTGTTCACATGGATGTCATTTACAGGTGCTTCTGCTCATTCCCTTTAACATAGCATATAGTGTGAGACGCACAACGTGAGGATGCTCCGTATCTGCTATACATGCAAAAAAGAACCTTCAGTCTGAAACTCAAACCTCCGTCTGACTGGATGCTCTGGTTTCACTGCTTCTGTTCAGCACAAACCAAACCTCCGTCTGACGTTTGTATCTGTGCATGAATTCTACGAAGCAGAAGCTGCTGCTGGGTCACAGCCACTCGTTCTTCATCAGCATCCCTGTCAGCCTGCAGGATGGCTGCTCTCTGTATGTACACTGGTCGGACTATTTACAGCGCGTGTGGAGAACCGCCTTCCTCTATCAGCGTATTAAACGAGCATCACCTCGATAGAAGAACCTCCTGGAGTAAACAAACACAATGTTGTCGTTATTGTAAACATTCCACTCCTGTTTTCACACAGTGCTCCGCCTCCGCACTGAACAAACGTGGAGTTTGGAGGGGAGGTTCTGTTGTAGATGGAGAACGTCTGCTCAGGTTTCTGATCCTGATCCACCAGCTGAGCTTCTACCTTCCGCCTCGGCTTCCTCTCTGCTCACCTGCTGTAACCTTCTGGATTCTCACCTCTCCTCTCGCTAACACTTCCTCTCACCTTCTGGATTCCACTACCTCTGTTTGTGATGATCTGTTTACACATGCCTACATATAGTGTGTGTGTGTGTGTGTCTGTGTGAACATGTGTGTGTGTGAACATGTGTGTGTGTGTTGTAGCGTCCCTGCTCTCGGACCAGGAGCCTCCAGCTGCAGGAGCCCGGCCGACAGGTGGATCTGTTTCATGTTGTTTCATGTGTATGAGCTGAAGGTTAAAGTATAAATGTGTGTGTCGCTGTGCAGTCTTCTTCCTCTCCTGTTTAAAAGCCGTTGATGTGGCAGTAGGCCTCCAGGCTGGAGAACAGGATGTAGAGGAACCACAGGCCCAGGAACAGCAGGGTGGTGAGCAGCCGGGACACTCTGGGGCCGCCGAGCTCTCCGCCGATGGAGGGCCGGCGCCTGAACAGCAGCACGGCCATGCAGATGAAAGCGAAGATGGTGAAGAGCGTGACGGAGAAGGCCAGCGAGCCCGGATCCACCTTGAACTCCTTCCCTTTGACCCTCCAGTAGACGGCTGCCACCGACCAGGCCACGCCGATGCCCAGGAACACGTTGACGGCGTTGCTGCCGGTGACGTTTCCGACGGACGCGTCGGCGTGTTGGTCCTGCATGGCGGCGACTTTACTGGCAAACGTGTCTGTGAGAGGAAGGACAGACAAAATCACACAAACACACAAACACACGGCCGGCTGGGGGTTATCACAGGTCATACAGATGTGGACGGAGGCCAGTGTTGTTGTTTATGTCGACTCTCAACACATCCAAGGATGAAAGCGTCTGTTGGTCACAGACTGAAGGTTCTTTTGGGAAACAACAACTAAAGACAAACACAAAATGATACAAAACAACCAAACAAAGACACAGACTTATAAACTCATAAACAAACAACCACAAACTGACGCTACAGACACACAACCTGACCATAAAGAGACAAAATGACCACAAACACACACAAAACAAATAAAAATATAAACAAAACAACCAAAAAGAGACAAAACAATTTTACAAAAACACAAAACAATTCAAAAATGAAAACAAAGTGATTATAAAGACACACAAAACAACTACAAAGAGACACAAAACAACTACAAAGACACACAAAACAACTACAAAGAGACACTAAACAACCGAGAGGAAACACAAAATGAGCACAGACACGAAACAACCAAAAACAGAAACACAACAACAACAACAACAAGCAGACAAACAACAACCACAAACTGACGCTACAGACACACAACATGACCATAAAGAGACAAAACGACCACAAACACACACAAAACAAATAAAAATATAAACAAAACAACCAAAAAGACACAAAAAAACGAACAAAAAACTAAAAAAGTGAAACAAAATGATGATAAAGAAACACAGACACAAAAGAATCACAAAGAGACGCAAACAAATAAACACAAAACAACAACAAATTGACAGAAATCCTAAAAAGAGACACTCAACATCTAGAATTAACTACAGAGTTACACAACGACCACAACCCGACGCCCGTCTCCTGGTTGGCTGCTGTGTCCGTCCTGGGCTCACCTGGGATGGAGGTTCCCAGAGCCACGAACACGACGGCCGTCACCGTGTCCCGCAGGCCCACGGTGCAGCCGAAGTGCGACGCCAGATCCCCGATGACGGCGGTGAGCAGGCCGATGACGCTGATGGACACGAAGAAGCAGGCCCAGCCGTTCCAGTACTCGGTGGGCGGGACGCAGGCGAACAGAACCTTCCAGAACACGGTGAGGAAGTGCATGACGTAGTCGTAGCAGGACGGAAGACGCTCCTCGCGGCCCTCCTCGTCGTCGTCGCCGTCGCCTGGAGGAACATCAGAGGACGAGAAGGTTGGAACCAGGACAGAAGATTCTAAAACACTTCATTACTCCTGAGGAACGTACTGATGTCAAAACACAAAGAACTTCTCAGTGAGTTCAGTTCAGAAACTTCAGGTCCAAACACTGCAGTTGCCTCCTCCCTCCACTAGATGGAGACCTTCAGCTGCAGATGTGAACGAGGAACTCTCTGTGGACTCTGTTCATTCATATTTTCCATCGACAGCCACTGGACTGGATTCACCCGACAGACGACTCAGCGGTTAAAGATAAAGGACGGATGGACTTCATTTTCTGACAACACAAGACTTTTAAGTTGTTGTTTTACACGTCATTAATAAAAGTGTTTTACTGAAGCAGATTCAAACCAGTTTACACCAGCGTCAGGTTGTAGTTTCCCTTTAGAGGAACACAGTCTGGGGTTCTGTTGGATTCAGTGGTGTAGGTTTGTGGTGGAGTTGTGCGTCCATTGAGCCTGAGATGGACGGACGGTTGGTGCAGCTTCAGGAAATGAGTTTCCTCCGTAGGACGTCTGGACTCAGCTTTGGAGAGAAGGTGGAAGCTCAGACATCCACAGAAGAGTCGCTGCTCCAACACATGGTTCATCTGATCAGGATGCTGGAGTCCTTCTATTGGAGGTTTTCTGGGCAGGTCCAACTGGAAGGAGACTCCAGGGTCAGAACTAACTGGAGCGATTTAATATCTCATGTGGCCTGGGAACACCTTGGATCCTCCAGGTGGCGCTATAAAACATCTGGAATGACCCGCTGCCACCACAACCTGGCTTCTTCTGATAAAAAGCAAACGAATGGGTGGATGGAGTTGTGGGTCAGAACAAACAGCTGAACCTCTCTTTAATTAAATTCACCTGGAAGGACTGTCTTTAAAAAACAAATCTATGAGCGCTGATCAGAAAGTTCCTGTACTGTTTGAGTCATGACTCGGGAGACCAGGTGACATGGTGCTAACGACACCAGGACCAGTTTTAGTCACGTTTCACATTCTGTCAGCTGGAGGATCCAACCTTCATGTGGAGGATCACCATGGTGACCAGAGGAAGGTCTGCAGCCGCCATCAGGAGAAGAAACAGCAGCTTTCAAGAGGGAGCACCAGGTTCTGCAGCAAACAGCCTCAACCGTGGTGCAACGACAACATCATCGTGCTCCCTCCTGCTGGATGTGGCTCCCTGTGATTCCCTCTTCCTCACAAAAATGTCGTTCAAGTGTACGGGTCACTGTTTGGACACGGATGAGGAGATTCGACACTTGCAGATGGTGTTTGACCAGAAGAGCGTTACAAGTGCTGCAGGAGCTCTGGGAGCAGCACGAGGAGAGACGTTTAAAGCCGAGGGCAGCTAAATTTAAAACTGAGGACAAGGACAAGTCGAGGTAACGGTTTGTCCAAACTTCTGAAATCAGGATGTGACGTTTAAACGCACAAAACAACAAAAAAATGTGATATTCCAGATCAATATACTCCAACTGCTGCTAACTGTGTTCTGACCTCCAGCAGCAGGAGGATCTCTTTGCTGCTGTTTCAGTCACATCTTTGGCTGGAAAACATTTGGCATTTTAATTAGAACTTTCTGCGCGTACCACCGAGAGACTGCCACGACTTGGATCGATGCTGCAGCAGGCGTCAGGTGAGAGGTGCTGAAGAAGAGCGAACAACTTCCATAGGAATTAGTGGAAGCTTTAACCGCATGCTACACTGCGAGAGGAGTTTAATACAACCTGTCAGACTGCAGGAGATCGATGGTGAAGGCTGCAATGAAAACCTGACGAATTGTGCGTAACGACAGAAAAAGAAGAGCTGCAGCAAAAGCCTGAGATCCCAGTTCTGTATCGATGACTGAAGAGTTATTTCTCCAGCGGTACGGATGTTCGGTTGCTCAGTTAAATCCTCCGTTTACAGACTGTTAACAGGCTGGTTTCATTCATTATTGATCCTCTAAATGTGGCCGTGACGTCTGGTTGAAACACAGCAGCAGTTAGAGGCGACGCTTTAATGCCTTCTATGAACTGGGATGTATTTAAAGCACATCGGAGGCTTTTTACAGCCGGAGACACCAAATAATCAACTCTGGACATGAAACAGTGAATCCTCACCACGAGAACAGCAGCTGCTCACGGAGATGGACTGTTGTTGTTGACGATGTTGCTGATTGCGTTGTTGTTGTTGACTGTGTTCTTGTTGACTACGTTACTGCTTGTGTGTTGTTGCTTATTGTGTTGCTGACTGTTGTTGACTGTTGTTGTTGACTGTGTTGCTGCTAATTATGTTAATGACTGTTGTTGCTGCCGACTGTGTTGCAGAATGTATTGTTGCTGACTGTGTTGTCAGTGTTGTTATCGCGTTGTTATTGACTGTGTTGTTACTGCTGACTGTTGTTGTTACTGTGTTGTTACAGTTGTTGCCGTGTTGTTGCTGCTGATGGTGTTACTGTGTTGTTACAGTTGTTTCTGACTGTTGCTGTTACTGATTGTGTTGTTGCTGACTGCGTCGCTGACTGTGTTGTTCCTGTGTTGTTGTTGCTGACTGTGTTGCTGCTGACTGTTGTTGTTGCTGACTGTGTTGTTCCTGTGTTGTTGTTGCTGACTGTGTTGTTACAGTTGTTTCTGACTGTTGTTGGTACTGATTGTGTTGTTGCTGACTGTTGTTGTTGCTGACTGCGTCGCTGACTGTGTCCCGACAGCTGATTGGTCCGTGAAGTCTCCTGCAACACCCAAACAGAGCTCACCTGCGCTGACAGTAACCGCCTCCACAAACTGCTCCCTCCAGGAGTGCGTCCCGATAACCAGCGCCAGGTTGGTCTTCTTAATGAGCTTGTCAACGGTGCTCTGCCAATCAGAAGCACAACACACTTCATTAGCGGCCGGTTACTGTTGGGGACAAGCGACAGGTGAGCCTGACAGGCGACAGGTGAGCCTGTCAGGTGGGTTCATCCATCACACATCACATCACAAACTCATTAATGTGGTTTGATGACACACTGAGAAACTCAACTGATGACACTGAAAATAATGAAGCTCCACCGCTGCAGCAGAACAACTGTTTGTGCATGAAGAAGAAAATAATTTTCAACAGAGAGCCTGAATGTTGTCCAGGTGGGGAGGGTCCATTAAAAGACGATTCTCAGGTGCATTATGGGAAATGTGGGAGGAGAAGTAGATGCTGACCAAAAGACACACTTGACACCACTTCCTGGTGTAAAAGAGTGAGATGAGGAGACCGACTCATACCTGTGTGTTCAATGAGTCAGCAGCCACTTAGCTTAGCTTAGCACAGAGACTTGAAAAGGGGAAATACAGCTAGCTTAGCTTAGCATACTGTCAACAAAGCAAAACAGCTAGTTTAGAATTAAGATGGGAAAAAGTTTACCTTAGAACAAAAAATCAAAACATGAAGAAACAGATAGCTTAGTTTAGCTTGAAGACTGAAAAGGAAAAAAAACACTTAGCTTAGCACAAAGATGGCAACTAGAGGAAAATTGTGAGCTATGCATAAAGACTGGAAACAGCTAACTTAATTTAACACAAACGCTGCGAACAGACTGGGAAACTAGGAGCTTAGCATAAAGAATGGAAATGGAGGGAAACCTCTTGCTAACGTAAAGAACAGGTACTAAAAAACAGCTTAGCATCAAGACTGGAAATGAGGCAAAAAAGTCAGCCTAGCTTAGCACGTAGCATTGAAACAAAGGGCAACAGTTAACCTATGTTAATTCAAAGAATGAAAACTGCTAGCTTGGTGCAAGGCTGTAAATAGGGGGAAAATACATAGCTTAGCTTAGCATAATGAATGAAAAAAGTGGGAAACAGGTACCTTAGAATAATGAATGTAAACTGGAGGGAAACAGTTAGCCTAGCTTAGCATTAAGACATGAAACAATGGGAAACAGCTGGTCCAACTTAACATCAAGACTGGCAAAAAAAAAAAAAAAAGGAAACAGTTAGCTTAGCTTAGCACAACAACAGCTACTGCAACTCAGCATTAAATAATGGAACCCAAGGTGGAAGTCTTAGTTTATCAAAAAGACTAGGGGCAGCAGCTAGCTTAGCATAAAGAGCAGAAACAGGAGGAAGCAGCCTGGTTTTGTTCATCTCTTGTTCTCAATTGAACAAGTTTGTCTTGTTTGTCGTAATCTGGTTATTTATCAGAAAACACCGTAAACCATGTTGTGATTCATGGAGGTTATATTAGAAAAGAAAACAACAGATTTAACACCAGAGGAGAAGGAAAACGAATCCAAAGCACGTTATCCGTTTCCCTCACTGCTGTACGTGCTACACCTGCTGATGCTCAGTTTCATTTGCTGAGGATCTGATTTCTCATCCTTTCAGCCGCTTTTCATCACTTCACTACAATGAACGTCTATTTGTATTCGAGCGGTGTTTTGTGCAGAAAGTGTGGAAACTAAACAGCGTCTGCGCATCAATAATAAAACATGTACAGATGAACTGATACGCTGAGTTTGTCTGCAGCTGCACAAACAAAAGAGACACTTCAGTCTGTTAGTTGGGGCTATGAAATACTCTTGAGTAAATTAAAAACACAACACACAGCTTAGACACAGACACTGCTCTGCTGTTTGTTTATTCGTTTAGCAGATATATTGATCTCCAGTGAGCTAAATCTCACCAGCAATCATACTGAACTGCATTATTCCTCCCGCTGGTTCACACAAACCACAAATCATAGGAGACAAGGACAATTTTATTTGTCCACGAGGGGTCAGTTTAATCAGATGGAGGATGAGGATATTGAATTTAGCGGACTGTGTTTGGAGTGACGACGGAGCAACGCGTCTCATTAATCCTGTTTGGTTGATGCTGTTTGTTTGTAGCCTTTCTAAACTCTCTCTACCTGAAATTAATTCAGATACGATCCATACCTCTGCCGGGTTTTTAATTGGCTAACAGGAGGCGGATGTTTGATTTGTTTGCTCCCTCTGTCGAGCTGAACTTTCCCATTTTCACTTATTTTGTTTTAATTAATTTCCACGTAATTTAGAAGAAGAGTAAAAGAGCATTAGAGGACTCAAAGCGCCGATTTGTGTTATTTACTGTATTTCTGAGGGATTTAAAGCCGGTGAATCGCCCACTGCTGACGGAAACAGCACCGGTTGCTGTTTAAATCATTTATTTGGTGCATTTCACCGACTCACAGAGGTATAAAACAGCAGTTCACGGAAAAGTTCATCGCGCATGATGGACTGTAGGTTTAAACTTTCTTGAGAGCAATTAAGATGTGTAATATAAAAGCAAACTGAATTAATTCTATACCTCAGAGTGGCGGGCAGGGGTCCAGGCTTATGTGGCTGCTTTTATTTGCACAAAATCCACCTGAGCCCAGAGCGCTTTTCAAATATTTGGACAGTGGAGTGCAGCCCAGAGGGACCCGGTGAAGCCCGAGGACGAGGCAGCTCTGTGCACAGAGTCTGAGGTCTGAGTGCTTCCAGCGAGCTGCTACATGGAGGGAAACTCGTGCATTATCAATAATTCAGGCTCGTATTAGACCAGCTGGCTGAGAGGGGTTAAGACCCGGCTTTAACAGTGTGAGAAAGAGGCGGATTATTTAACACCAGCAGGAAAACACAGCAGCTGCCTCCATGTTGCATCAGTTCTACCCAGAAAAATCAGCCGACTCATCAAACGAGGCTGTAGGATTCAATTTACTCTGATTACTTATCTCGTGTGCAGATTTCTTTGCCAGTTTTCTCGTTTCTATGATTTGTGACACTCTGAATTCGGAGCAGCTTCTGAGTGTCACAGTTTTATTCACTGGGGGCTCATTTCTCACCCAAATATAAAGCGCTGCGTCTCTATGGAAACGTGGTCTCGGCTGGAAGCAGAACGAACTCAGAAATGTCTTCGGAGCTGAATAATGAAGTAATGATGCCTTAAATCGTTAAAAAGGGGAAAAAATAAAGTGGAATTCATTTGATTATTTGTTTTACCGACATTGAATAATATCCTATAATAATATTTTTTAGATATTTGACTATTTAAAATACGACAACTTTAACAGATCAGTTTCACATTTGCTCTAGAAACACGTTTCACCGCCGTGCTGAATGCATCCTTCAACAGCTTGCTCCTGTGTTTACTGCTTTCTAACCGTGCTTCATTTAGTTTTAAAGCTATAACTAATATTTTAGACTATTTTATTCTCATCTGACATTTTACAAAAAGCGTTCGGTCAACAGAGGTTGTTTTTAAACGTGCTACACATATAAATTCGATTTGATTCGTCATGCACATTTTACTTTACTTTACGGCATCATTTAGCATTTTCATTTTAAGTTGGGAGTTGAGACACAACTGCAGGTCCCACATGATTAGTTCCAGACAGTTGCTACGATCCTTCTGTCTCTGATAAATCGTGCGATTCTGGCGACTTTTTAAACAAACACATCTTTCAAACCCGCTGGCAGGCTTTGGGGTTCATAAGGTTAATTACAGTAAAACGTTCTGGCTGATTAATAAACTCATTAAGCCTGCTGGGTGCTCATCAATAAGCCCTGAACACATTTGTTTTGAGGACAGAATAGCTGCAACGTGGGCAGATTTCCCACAAACAGCTGCTCTCACTGGACACCACAAAGCAAACGAATGCGTGGAAGCTGCACCTTGAACTCGTACGACTCCTCGATGACCACCTCCAGCCGGCTGTGCTCCCCCAGGATGGGCTTCCCCATCTCGGCTATCCTCCGGGCCTCCTCCTCCTCAGCGCTCATCTGCCCCTCGGTCCCCTCTGTGGGAGGAAACGGAGAGGAACTGAAACTAAAGTCATGTCACGGATATTTCCAGGTTGTGCCTCCATCAATAATAGACTGTGAGTCAGCGTTTAATGCAAAAGCTGCACGATATCACGCGTGTGCATTAATACACGCGTCTGAAATATGTATCTGTGGCATGAGAAGGAGAATATTCTACTAGAGCTTCAGACTGATGTTGAAAATGAATCTGTGAACAACATCAGCTCAGCTAAAGAGCCCATAAAGTGTGAAATGAATTCACTGCATGTCACACAGTGTAAAATGAGTCTAATAAAATGCAGCAGCCTCCGTCTGCGTGAGGCTGTTACTCAACAACAACACAATCAAAGTGATTTATTTTACATGTAAAGGTATTTCACCAGTTTGCTGTCTGCGTTTGGATCCATTTGACAGTGAGGTTTTCTTTAAACTTACAACCAAAGACTTCACCACATTTCTGTCACCATTTTGTCTGAAACACATTCACCATCTATTCTTTGGATTTAAGCTGCAGAGTTTCCACTGCAGGACCACGATTAGTTTGAAGAAGCTACGTGTCCAGGGGCTAAACTCAGGTCTAAACTGTTTGTCTCCTCTTTTGTTCTCATAAAAAATCTCAGTCTACATAAAAAAAAAGCGCCACAAAGAGCCAAAACATGGAAACAGTGAGTCAATCAAGAGCCTGCAAAAAGCTCTGACCACGTATCAGACGCTTCAGCTTAACAAAGATAAGACTGAAATATTCCTTTTGGGCAATAAAGAACAAAGTCTGGTTTGTTTACAGAGAGTCTATGTCACCATAAAAAGCCTAAATTTCAGCAGCAACATCAAAACTGCAGCTAAATCCTGACATCTTAAAAACAACTGAGATGAGAAAGTTAATGTCCTAAACAAGCTTCTGCCTCCTGATAAAATCCTCCTCTTCTGTTTCTGTCCAGTATTTAGAGCGAACACCCAGCAGCGTGCAGGAGACGGTGATTTATTTCGACATGTGGCCCACTTTGTGTTATTGATCCGCTGCATGCAGAGCAACAGCAGCCAGCGAGCCGCCGTAGAGACACAGCCGAGAGATAACGAAGCTCTATAATCACATCTGAAGGTGTTTCTTTACAGCAAGCAGAAGCTGTAACAGTGTGATGCTGCACAAACAGCTTCAGAGGCTGCAGACCGGCCCGGGTGGGATTTAGTCGCTCGGCCCTGCTGCTCCCACAGAAGGGAAATGAAGGATTACAGCCGTCCCCTCTCCCGCTCAGGTGGCCCGAGTCTAATCATGAAAAGACTGTAAGGGTAGAGCAGCATATGGCCACAGTCCCTGCAGAATCCACCGACACCGCTTCAAGCTGCCATAAACACACACAGACGCAGGAACAGACTCAAACGTCGGCTTTCTTCTGAGCAGCACCTTCCCCTGAGAGGTAGCTCTGCAGGGACCGGGTCCCCGCTGCGACACCTGAACAGAAAACGCCTTCACATCAACAAGTGTCATCGTGAGTCACCGTCCCCGCGGGGCTTCTCGCCCTCACAGCACTTTATCTCCATCTTTCAGCCTCCGAATTTTGCTTTTGCTGCCTCTAAACGTCTGTCACTTGAGCTTCAAGCCGCTCGGTTGCTTTGTGCTCCGAGCTGCAGCAAAACGTCTCCAGAAATCTGGAAAGTTTAGAACACTTTGGAAGCATAAAAACCTTCTGGGTGCAGGTTTGGTTGAATGCACCGCTCAGGTTCGGTTAGTCAGCTTCTCATTTGTCTGTTTTGGTTGGTCACAGGCTCAGAGGACTTCAAACTGAAAATAACTGTGAGCACAAATCAGTAGGTTGTCAGTGAGCGACGGGACGCTTTACTCTGACCTATATTAGTGTTCATTCCATCCTGGTGGAACACACGTTCTAACATCAAGCATTGGGATCCACTGCAGGAACTTGACAACATTTACAGGAATAACTCCCTAACCTGCATTTCCAGTCTTTCTGCTTCCATTGTGGTGAAGAATCCAACAGTTTAACAACAACATTAACACTCAGAGCACAAAAACAGCAACAAATACTGTTTACTGGTGAAACTCCATTTCTATGAGCAGGAAACAGAACAACGAACGGAGGGTTGTTGTGTTAGCGACTGGACGAGGACATCTAGAGACCAGAGAAGACGGCCCCTGTTGTCCTCCCCTTTGCCTCCTCCGAGTTCAACCAACCAGAGCTGAGTCCCGTATGACAGTTTTTTCAGGGCTGCTCAAGAGAACCAGAGTAAGTCGTCAGATTTAGACGTTATGAGTCCGTTAAATGGCTGCTATCACCACATACAGTGGAAACCAGAAGTTTACATAAACTAAATGAAAAGATATAAAATCTTTCTAAAAATCCTGATTACAGTTTGTAAATGCACACAGGGACAAAGTTTGGAGACATGTCCTGTGGTCTGATGAAACTAAACCTGAACTGTTTGGCCTTAATGACCATCGGTACATCTGGAGGAAAAAGGAGGAAGCTTGAAGCCTGAGAACACCATCCCAGCTGTGGAGCACGGGGGTGGCAGCATCATGCTGTGGAGGGACTGGTGACCTTCACACAATAGATGGCATCATGAGGAAAGACCATGATGTGGAGATACTGAAGCAACATCTCCAGACATCAGCAAGAGGTTAAAGCTTGGACACTAATGGGTCTTCAGATGGACGATGACCCTCAGCATAACGCCAGATTAGCTACAGAGAGGCTTCAGGACAACAGAGTCAGTGTTGTGGAGTCACAAAGCCCTGATCTCCATCCTGGAGAACATCAGTGGGCAGAGCTGAAAAGGCGTGTGGAGCAAGGAGACCAACAAACACAGTTTAAAGGCAACGCTACCAGATACTGAGGAGATGGATGGAAACTTCTGACTTTGAAGTAAGTCATAAAAAATGATCTTTCTCATTATTCTGGCGTTTAGCAAATAGAAATAATGTCCGTAATCCTGACTGACCTGAAACAGGAAAAGTTGAGTCACGTTTAATGTGTGAAAAACAAAAAGGTTTTGTGTCTTTTTATACAGTGGATGTAAACATCTGGTTTGACTGTATCATACATCTGGACCAGCAGGAACCTCCTTCACCTTCTAATAAACCAGGAGGTCCATCATCATCCATTCAGATCATTAATAAACAGGAAGAAACTTAAATAATGCTGTGGACCTCTTGTTGTGAAGTGAAGTCGGAGATGGAGTCGTCGCCCTGGAAACGTACCAAATGGAGCTTTATAACACCTGGTAAATGTAGTGTTATAACCCAACCCATGAGCATGTTTATGGTTTGGTTTAAACATAAAAAGGTAAACATCAAGTGGAACCAAAGTCAAAACAAGATCTAAGTGCAAAAATAAAACTCGAATAATGTCCCGAGATGTGACTGAAATTTAAGCGTCTTAGCTAAAAGTCAGCACCAGCCTCCAAATGTGGCCTTTTGTTCCTCTTTATAAGTGCAGAATCGCAGCTCCACCACCATGAAATGAGGTGATAAAGGCCCAGTGAGCTGCTATAAGGTGGAGGAGTTCCCTACTGACCCATATGTGTGGAAAAGAGCTGCAATGATAACGTTTAATGAGCTGATAACATCCAAAACAGGCAAGTAGGAAGTTTATTGTCCCCTGAAAACATCACTGAAAGTAGTTCTACAGGCAGAGTTCCTGCACAAAGATTCAAGCTGCTTTAAAACAACCTGCATGTTTCTGCAGTGGAAAACAGTTTAATATCAACAGGATGCAAAGCTGTAAAAACTTTCTTCTGCTGTCTCCATTTTGTATTTAATTCACAATCTCCATATAAAAAATAGAACCAGTCAGCTTCAATCTTCGTTTCCTCCCACACAGAAGACTCCTCAACAATCACAGAAAGTGATGAAATATCAAAGCATTAAAGGAAGTATATGATAAAGCAGAGCCGCTCTGACTAAGAAAGGCCACAAACTTGGTGATAAATCTGCATCAGAGCTCGGTGACGGCCCACAACACAAGCAGCGCCGACTCATTTGCAGGCGTTTATTTCCAAACTGTTCTATTGTGCGGCGTGGAGATTCACAGAAGGCCAATTCTGCTGTGATCCAGATGTAAACAGACAAATAGCCATCGCTCCCCGAAGCAGAGGCTAAAGAGGAACGTGAGCCAGGCTGCAGAACAAACAATGTTCAGGCTGAGCAGAACACCTGAGCGGCTGGGAGACGCTGTGGCACCGCTTCAGGTTTACGGCGAACATTCGCAGTTAAGTTCAGCTGCTTCTAGTGTAAAAAGTTAAAGTAAGTTCTGGTCAAAATAGCAATAAAAAGAGACACTAATTTAATAGACACTGTATGTAACAGGGCACGGAGCTGTAATAATTTATGAATGTTAAATAGCTGCATTTAACTCTATTAACTAAAGTGCAGTATAATTTATCACTCGTTCACCCGTCAGCGCCCACACCAGGCGGAGGAGCTGGAAATAAAAGCACTGAGTGAGCGACGAGAGGACGACCTGCTGTACCTCCTCAACCGCTGCTAATAGAGGTGATGTCCTAAATCAGCCTCGGGTTAGAATAAATGTAAACTCAGCGAGTTCCCAGGATAGTTACGGGCGAGATAAACCCACAGAGACTGAGAGCAGCACGACATCGAACTGTAAGCCTGCGTCAACATGTTTTCATTCGATATGTTGGCCGCATTAATGGGCCGAAGCTGAAAACTTTTAGTTTTTCTGTTTCTGTCAGCAGGATCACATGGTGTCTACAGGAGGCGCTGAGTCAGGCTCAGTTCATCGGTGTCTTTCTATGCTGGTTAATGTTGCTGAAGAGACTCGCCGGTTGTTGATTAAACCCTTAAACATTTATTTAATTATCAAAGTTCATGTTCAGAAGTCCATATTGTTGAGACTTTCACTGGTGCGCTGCGGCTTCAAGGTGAAAATACTCAAACAACTGCTTAAAAAACACCATATAGATATAACAAAGCAACAAAAAGGTGATTTTTACCAGATTTAGACAGTTTGTTGGCATCACTGGGCAGAAATTCCTACAAATCTACCTGCATATTGTAATTCGGTGGTCTGAGAGGAAACCTAAAGTCTGCACTTCCTTTGGAATCCATTTTTGACTTTACAGCTTTAATTAAATCAAAAATACCAAATCCTTGTTTGATCTGTTTTATATCATTGCAAATGGAACATCTTTGTAATTTGGACTGTTGTTCAGACAAAACAGGACTGAAGACAAACATCTGTGGCTTTAGGAAACTGTAAAGGCATTTATCAATACACTCATTCTACAGATCAGATATTTAATGAATCCAGGAAGTAACCAGCAGATTAACTGCAGCCCTACAAATGAAATCAGGCTGAGATCTTCAGTTTGGAGCAGAAGGAGTCATCAGACGTTCTTACCTTGGTTGAGCAGCAGAGCTGTGACGAAAACAGAGTGGACGAGAAAAGGAGAGAGTCAGACATTCAGGAAAGAAAACAACAGCAGGAGCTCAAATAGTAAGATTTAAACATCACATGAAGCTAAACAGTGAAGTGGTCGTGCTCTCAGCTCGGTACCGATGACCGGAGGAGGCAGGATGTCGATGTAACGTCTAAACATCCTGGTTGCAAACAGCATCTCACGGACAAGATAGAAGCTCCCATTTCTGAGATATTTGGGCTTCACCTTTGGCTGGACCTGATGCATCGTCCATTTTAACATACAGTCTGTGAATATGTCTCAAAAAGGAGCATAATAAGTTTCCTGGTGTTGTTGGTGGACCACAGATGGACTCAACCAACCGCTGATAGTCCATATCTTCAAGCAGTCGCTCCACCTGTTCTACGTTTACTCCTCCTGGTTTGTTTGCAACAAGTGAACCTGAACCACATTTGAGCTAAACAGTCAAAATAGTTTCCATATTTATTTGTAGTTGGTGTGAAACAGCCCTAAAAGCTTTACTGCAATCAGGAAGTCTACGATGAAAGAATGTAAGTGAGCATTTGTAAAACCTTTATACATCAATACACGCCGCCACTTAAATAAATTCATGGTTGCAAGATAAATTTAGATAATTTTAGATTTATTTTGCACTTTAGAACCACTACTGTAAACACTGCAATCGTCACTTTATACAACCAGAGTTTACTAATGCACAGAGCACTTTACTGCTGTCAGCTTACGTCTGCTTATTGACTTCAGAAATGCTTTAGTTTATTTATACGTTGTGTACATTTGGTTTAACTCAAATTCCTGCGTTAGATTTTACACTAAATTCAAGTTGAGGGAACTTAATTGGTTCTTAACTTTGAGGTCAAGATGTCACCTACTAGAGCAACTTTTCTTTTTGAATTTGCCAACTTAAAAACTTCAGAATTCTGATAACTAAGTACATAACACTTAGAAATTCATTTTAAATAATGTGGAAATACTTCCTGGAACAACTTAATCAGCTTAAAAACTTGTGCTCATGCTCCCGATCCTTATGTAAGTGGCTGTTATGCTCCTGATGTCTTATAAACACGGTCGATCAAAGGTTTCCTTGAAAAACTGACAAGAAAATCCTCCAGAAACACGCCGCCTACGTACCTGAGATCCCTCTCTTCAGCCAGCGGGGCTCCTCCAACACGACGAAGAAGTTTTCGTGTTTTTCGTACTCTTCGTCGTCGATGATCCGGATCTGCAGAGTCTGACTGCAAACACAGAGACACAAAAGCAAGTAAATAATCTCATCAGCAGGTAATAAAGGCCTCGCAGGGTTTTCGCCGCGGGTCGCCTCGTTATCGACGTGCTGCAGAAGCTCGAGGCCCGTAGACGCCGACAGTATGGAGCCGAACAAATGGTGGTCTGTGATGTGAGGAAATCAGAGCAGAAGGAAGCCGGAAGGATCAATAAGGGAGAAGAAAGGTGGGAGTCAAAGAAGAGAACAAATAAATAGGAAAAACTAAGGATGATTCAAAGAGAAAGTCAGAGTCTGAGGCAGAAAAATACAGTTTTGTTGGATCTTTGTTGGAGCTAATCATTTTAGGAGTCCTGAAAAACTAAAAAACACGACATGAGAGGAGAAGGTGAGCCTAGAGGACCGTAGTGATGCTTCACATCTGCCTTCAGAGTGTGCACAAATAACACTGTGAGAAAGCGATCAGCTATGAATAGAAGCCAGTCAGACCATCTTTAACAACGTCAGGACATGTGAGAGGTTATTAGAGGAGGAGAAGTGACGGGGAAGCGATGGAGACGAGACCTGTTGGCGTCCCCGAGGAGCGAAATGTCACCGCAGGAAGCAGCTCAATGAAGCCGGAGGAAAATGTGCTCTGACAACAGGCAGAAGGAAATGAAGACGGAGGGGAAGGTGTGCAGACGAGGGAACAAGAAAAGGGACAGTAAAGTGGTTAAAGAAAGCAAAGAGAAAGTGGAGACTGAAGAACAAAGCTCGAGAAGTTAAGGGTCAGAGCTGGAAAAAAAAAAAGGTAAAAAATGAAAATCAGTGAAGTAAAAAATTGAAGCAAAGAGCAGAAAATCGACGGGAGTTTGAAAAGAGGCAGACGGACAGATGCAATCAGGAGTCGGTCACCGCGAGTGGGAACAATGTGGCGTGAAAATGACAGAAATGATGGAGGATGAGCTCGAAGAACAACAAGAAAACAGCCGAGCAGCAGAGTTTCAGCGCCGAACGCTGCAGAGAGACTGAAACCGAGCGGCCACAACGTTCACTTTCTCTTCTGTTTAGCTTCAAGTTTTGTACTTGTGTTTATTTTTTGAGGCACTATTTCTTGGCATCCACTCAGACACACTTAGACAAACACTTTGCATTTTGTATTCTTTATTAATTTCTATTTAACTACTGACCTTTCTGTAATTGTGTAGTTTGTTGTACTCTGGTTGAAACTATTTCCTTCAGGATGAATAAAGTTGATTTTATCTTAAAACCAGCAGCAGGTGACGTAAACAACGCTGATGACAGTAAAAGGTTCTGCTGGGTGTCTTGCTATTCACCAGACATGTACGCTGTAGAATAATCATCTGTTAAACAGGTTTTAACTGTGATTTCTTGAACAATTTCCTGCTGTTTTACAGATTATTTTTTGTTAAACTACACATTAGGACAACTAAAGCCACTGATGAACTGTTTTCATTTACTAGTTAATCATTTAAAAAATGGCAAAAATGTAAATAAAATCTGTATTGTTACAAATACAACATTTTTTTTCTTACTACATATGAACATTGAACTATTTTACAGATATTTGCTTTTATTTGAAATGATCTATGTATATTAAGGATTTAAAACAGTAAATAGCTGTTTTTATTTTTTTAAACTGATTTTCTTATTTTGTCCTGCTGCGTGTTGCAGCTTTAAGTCACGTCAACATTAGTTCCTGAAGCATCGTCAGTCTGTGTCTGCAACACGTCGGTCATTTTCCAAACACATGGTCCTGTTGGTACTTTACTTTGGCACAAGCCCTCCAGCGTGGATCATTTTTAAGACACTTGCATTCAAACTTTTGGCATTAAGACCATCGTTAGGCGTGCAGCAGCCCTCTGAGGTGGAATAAATGCAGTTATCCAGACAGTCTGTGGTCACTAAAAAGCCCCGTCGGTGCTTCTGCAGCGGCCTGGAGGAGTCTGGAACTGCAGCCACGGCAAGTTTCCTGTTTAAAGTCTGATCTGGAGGCTCGTCGGTGTGACTGAACGGAGTCACACAGAAGGTGAGGACGGCAGAGAGAGGAGGCTTGTAGCTGCACACGAGGTGAACCAGACGACAGCACTGGAGGTGGTGCAGAGCCGGGCGACCTGTTCAGACACCGACCGACAACCAGACGGAGAACAAACCCGAATGAATCCTTGTCATGAACAGGAGCTGCCGCTGAAGCTTTCCACCAGCAGCAGCTCCGTCTCACCTGCTGCAGGTTTCTGTCAGTCAGTGAAGCTGCCAGTTTGCATCAGTCCACAGCTGCTGGGATTCACATCAGAGTTTGTGTGAGTCTGTGTGAGTTTGTCGCTGAGCTGCACAAACGTAAAGAAAAGCCTCCAACTGACAAACACACGTTTAAAGACAGGAACTGACCTGACGGATAATTATCCTGCAGATTCCATCGCAGTGAAATCAAACTCAGACAAGTTTAACGTGTTTACTAATGAAATAACATCATAAACAAAATGATCTGTCGTCTGCAGTGTCTGTCCTTTTACAAGCAGTGAGATGTTTTGCTTCTGTAGCACATTTTATTCTGGAAAGAACAAAATTACACATTTAGTGCCTGTTTTCTGCTGGACATTTAAGCAAATCAGTGCACTTTAACCTCCTTATTTGCATTTTTAAATATAATATAAACAATAGCCTGAATGTAAGTAATCAGCCAGAGGAGCCTCACTGTGATATCTGTTAGTTCAGTTTGTTAAAAAGGTGGTTTTCAAGATTTCAGACGACATAATTTCCTCAAAGTCCACTTCATCAGCTCCTACAAACTTCTCCGCTTTATTCCTCCTCCTCTGATTCTTGTTTCCACTCAAGGATTTGTTCATATTTCATTCAGAGTCTGAATTATAGAACATTTTGTCCCTAAAGAGACACACGTGGTGAAAATGGGATCTTTTGTGGCTATTGATGGTATTTTATGATTCATGGAGGGATAAATGACGACAAAGACGCCCGATGTTCGGATTTCTGTTCTGGAAACGTCTGTAAATTAACTCATGTTCTGAAATATAATCTCTCATTGTGCACTTCTTTGGAATAACACAAGTCATTAGCTGGGGAAGCTTCTGGCAGGTTTTACATTATTTAAGCTGTAGTGTCTCATCTTCACTACAACATGAGGTGGACTAAACTCACACAGTACATAAAGGTTCAGACATTATTTCAGCTGATATCAGTCCTTTACAACACCCTGTTGGTGATGTTTATGTGGCGCTCAGGTCACTACAACAGTCCAAAACACACCATCACGACTCCAACACGCTCTTCACTCAAACTCAGTGAGGATCGAACACGAGCGAGCAGAGCCTCGAATCAGAACCCAAGACATGAATAATGGAGAGGGCTGTTGTCTGGAAGCACAAAGGAGGACAGAAGACAGAGCTGGAGGAGGCCAAGAGGAGAGAAAAGACAGCAGAGGAGGTGAGAATGAATAAGAGGAGGATGAAGAGGATTAAAGGATCATGAGAACAAACAGGAGCAGCAGTAAGGATGAGGAGAACACGTCTCTTTGCTCCTTCTTTTTACTGCTTTCATAAACAAACTTGTAAACTTTGCACGAATAAAGAGGTGAATGTGTGTTTTGACGACATCTTTATTTCACCCACCTGAAAGGGATTAGTCAGCACTCAAAGACTGTAATCCCCTCTCTCAGGTGTGAACACGCCGAGCAGCAACGTCTGAAACTGACAGATTATTCGTTTTCCAGCACTTCCACTGATTAGCTGCAGCGGGAGGCCAAAGAGCTGCGAAATATTCAGCGTTTTAAAGATCTGACTGAACGTGACGCTCAATTAGAGTCCATAAATATTGTGTTTACTCTCTCACACTTGACCTGCGTTTGAGATCCGCCGACAGAAACGACCACAAAGTGTCCAAAAGAAAAAGCAGAAACCTGTTAAGCTGCTCTGTGGCGAGAAAATACGTGGATTAAACTTATTAAAGCTGCATTAATGGATGTCTGTGAGCTCGGTGGGAGGACCATAATCCTCACAACATTTTTCACTTGATAAAAATGTTGTTTCAGGTGTTTAGCAAACTGTTGCCAACGTACGCATCCAGCAGAGTGAAATCGACATTCAGTGGAGTTCTGTTTGTTCTGTTTGTTCTGCTTGTTCTGCGTCGACGGCTGAAAAAAATCCATTTCTTCAGCTGCTCTATGTTCCACTTTCTTCACCAGAAAGTCTCCAAGCAGACCAGAATGATCAAACTAAAAGAGGCAAAGTAGACCTAATTAGGCGGTTATTCTTATTACCAAGCGGCCACCTTTGGGACTAAAAACCATAAAAAGTGCCAAAACCTGCAGTTCCTCGAGTGTCCACTGGAGGGCGACACCAAAAGTGAGTCAACCCCACAGACCCTCCATGATTAAATGTCTAACTTTAGAGCAGAAATAAAAATGTTTACAGTTTGGTACAAAAACAGTTTTGGTCTCTGTGGGTAATCTCTGTTGTTGTGGCGCCTGTTTGGGAGATTAACTTTTATATGACTCACCTGTTTAAATTGTATTAAGGTTTATATGTTGGCTACATTATTTTAAATTGGACAAACTGTGGAGTTTCTTTCCTGTAGTCTTTTTACTGGCTACATTTTTCTCTGCATTACCACAGTTTAAAGACAAACTTTTAAGTTTTAAGTCACTGCAACAACACGATTGGTTGAATGCTTCCTGGTCTGGCAGTTATGAAGCAGCTGATTGGTTTAACGGAGGGAAGGGGAGGGACATGTGGCCATCTTTGGTGTTAATGGATTCTCACACAGATTTCTACTTGAGGTTCTTAAAGTGCAGAGTCTCTCCCTTATACCTGTAAATAGTTTAAGTTTTAATTAGACATCAGGGTTTGACTATAACTTTGGTGCAGTTGGTAAGTTTAAGTACTACAATACCCATGAGCCTCAGGGTCAACGCAACGGACAAGAAGTCAGTCAGAGACATAAATTTAAAAGGTTGGAAATTCAATCAATTCAGACAAAACTGACAGAACTGTAAAGCTTTGGGGTATTCGGGCGGTGCACAGTGTTTTTGATTATAATGGTGGTGAAGTTGAAATGCACCCTGGGAGTCGTAGTTTGCTTCCCTCCTGGACAATCAAGCCTGAACAGATTTTATTCAGGATGAATGATGAGCATGAAGATGGAGTTGGTAGAAGAAGGACCTTCCTGCTACCAGCTGAACGTGTATGAAGGTCATGGTGGGCTGTGACTCACGTGGTCTGGTCGTTGGTGAACTCCAGCTCCCCCCTGGCGTCCTCGTAGTCGTCCCCGGCCTTGGCGGTGCCCGACTCGGTGTGGTACGGCAGGATGACGGTGCCGCGGGCGCCCGAGTTGCGCACCACCATCACCTCCATGGTGCCGACGCTCTCGCTCACCCTCACCATGCGCTCGCTGAACGTGAAGATGCCGGCGTGGTCGTCGTCCAGGATGGTCACCGTGGCGACCAGCGGCTCCATCAGGCGGGCCTTGGGGGTGGCGCCGACCTCGTCGCTCTCGAACATCCCCTCAGCGTCGCCGACACGGAGGTTCAGGAGGCGGACGAAGAAGTGCTCGTCCTCCTCGAATATGTCGTCGTCGATGATTCCCACCTGGACACAGAGAACATGTCTTTATTAATATTATTGTAAATAAGGTGAAGTGTCAATAAAGTTATTAGTAGTAGTAGTATTAATAACAATAATAACTTTATTTATACTTCACCTTTTGAAAACAAACTGCTTTATAATAAAAGAAAAGCCCAAAGTGTCCTCCAGAAAAATAGATTAGGATTGGTGTTATGAAAGTAACCAAACAAGAACAAACAGTTAAGGCCCTGCAGAGGTATTTATGGTGTGATTGTACCTAAATAATTTACATATTAGAGATTAAACCTCACAAGAATCCTATAAAAACGACTTTACCTGACTGGCTGAGAGCCCACAGGCTGACTAATAACCTGACTGATGTAATAACACAGCGACACACTGATCAAAGCCTACAGTTACTCATAATAATGATCATTTTATGTCACATTTTCTTTCTTTGGGCCTGACTGAGCAGAAGTGTAAAGACGCACTCGCTGACATTTGAAAACACGCAGACAGCAGAACACAGCATAAAGCCGGCTGATAGCTGATCAGTACGTCAGACTACAGACGCGTTTCAGATCTTTGACATTCATTTCATTGCTCTTCTCAGCCGACTGATCACATATCAGACCGATTAGAGAAATGGAGAACACGTTGTCACCCAAACCATGATGTTTTTATAAACCTGAGGAACAGCGAGTGAGAATGAAACTGCAGTCTAATAGTAATGACCTCACACAGGACATGAAACCCAGTCTGCTGGATTAAAGTGTTTCCTCCTACATCACAGTCCAACCCTGCAGTGAGAAAATAGGTTTGTTTTAACTGAAAGCAGGTCTGGAGGCTGCTAGATGAAGGAGATCGTTCCTACTTTCTTCAATCGAATTCTTCAGTAAAACCTCAAGACGTTGTCTCTGGCTTCTGGCTGCTAACGCTCTTAATACGTCGTATTTATTGTGATTTTAGGAGCTGATCTCACAAGGTGCTCGTCCACGTTGCCCGTTTTTGTATTTATTTTATTTTATTTTGTTTTTGCAGCCTGATTTTATAAGTTTGATCCTGTCTGGTGCATAATGTTGTTGCTGCCTGTCTGATGCTCAGGTTGTTCCACCATAAACACATTTACTTTGATTTGTTTCTTCTAAAACACAAATGAGAAAGCAGTCTGGGTTTTGGGTTGACAATACAGTGAACTAATTGAGTTTAGCAGCTGTTGCTGGTGGCACATTTCCACCTTCACAGTTTACTTGGTGCTGCTGCGTTCCTGGACTCCTGCTGCGTTTTGGTAAAACATCTGTCACATCTGCGAGCAGGTATCGTGGCTGATGTTGAACAGTGAAGCAGTAACAGCTTCGACCACCACAGCTGGACAGAGCAGCTGCTGCTGCGTGCACAACTGGTGGGAGAAAAGTGATAAATGATCCTAAAACGTGCCTCATCGTGCTTTCTGTTGGATCTGCAGAAGGTTTTCCTGAACCGGCAGCTGTTTGTTGCTGCATCTGATACAGAAAATACCGAGTTTTCTTCCTTTGAGTACAACTGATGTGGAAGTCTGCAGTTTAATATGCATTTTTAAACGCTTGTGAACCAATCGGAGCGAAATAATTTGGTTAAAAAATTTTTTTTTTTAAAAAGTGAAAATTTGGCAACAAGGTGCCTGAAGAATTGTTTAAAAACTATTGAACTCTATAAAGTTCTAAAACTGAATAAAGAAGTAAAAAAAATGTCACATATCTGCTAAAATTATACATTTTTAGACGATTTAAATGCAGTCACATGTAGTTAAAGAACAGATTACTATTTGTAAAAATCTAGATTTTTAATGTGAATATTATGTATAATCATGGACTTTGAATGTTCTTTTAGTTTTTAACTAAACACGGAAAATCTTTATTATTTATTTAACATTTTTCAATCCCTAATATACACATATATGATCTGTCTTTTAAATGAGGAGAAAACCTGTAAAATAATGATATTAGCAGCTTTAAATACAGTCACACATGGTTAAAGAACAGATGACTATTTGTAAAACAAAACCTTTTCAATGCAGATATTTTTTTATTTTTTATTTTTACAGTTTGGGGGCATTTGTTTTAACAGTTAACATGTAAATTAATACTTTTTATTTGACATTTTACAGGGATAATCTGTAAAATAACCCATTTCTAACCTTCATACACAAAATTTGTCTTTTAAATAAGAACAGATGTCTGTAAAATAATATTATGCTTCGCTGATCTGAATGAACTGGTAAAAATAACGAGTCTTGACGTGGACATAATTCACACTTTTGGTTTATTTGGGGCAGACATGTAAACTTATTTTCTGTAAATTTACTAGTTATTGTTTGTAATTGAACAAAACTGAGAAAGTCTGTAAAATAACTGTTAAAATTGAGTTAAAAGCAGTTTTTAACAGTGTAGCAGAGGCGTTTAGAAATATAAAATCTGACACATCTGTCACATGAGACGGAATAAAAGCAATAAATGAGGACGGACCGGGTCGGATTTAGACGTGTGTGATTGTTTATTTGTGATTTGATTTATTGGACAAACTCCATTTAGGAAACAAAAGTCTGGAGGTGGAGTTTTACTTCACAGAAAATGAAAATAGATTGTTTTCTCTGCAATAAGAAGCTGCTGCATGAACAGTCCCATTGTTATGCAAACGGCAGCGTGTCGTGAATTTAAAGCGAACTGAGATCAGCCCCGTTCAGAGAGTCAATAAAAACCTCCCTGAACAGACGAACAGCTCCGGCAGGCATCCCATAATACCGCCGTTCACTAAACGACAGGCGGGAGCTCCCAGATCAGATCATGTCGGCATCATAACCCACCGAGTCCCGCCGTGAGCTTTAACATGTTCTGGATGTGAAATAATAATAATATGCTACGGAGCAACATTATTATTCAGCCGGAGTCGTGTTTACATCGACCCAGTGAATCTGAGCGCCCGATTTACTGTCGTTTAGCTCTGTTTTTTTTACTCTACCGACTCCTAATGGGGATACCTGGATGTTTAGCCGCTAAATGCTGCAGCAGATAGCGTTGAACTGTCTGACTGGAGCTGAGCAGGTCGAGACTTTTTTTGTGGAAACCAGACATCTGCTTACAAAAACTGTAAAGTCGTGGCCGGACTGCTAAACAGCTGAAAGCTCCATAAAGCTGCAGGTAATGCTTCACAGTGTTGCATTTAATACTGCGTTGCATAAAATCCTTATTAAAGCTGCTTTAGAGGCGAACGAGACAAGTGAAAATCTGGTTTAACTGTCAGCAGATGATTGTTGTGGCCAAAAGAATTCATATTATTCTGATATATGAAGAGTTCATTAGTAAAAACAGATAACTGCATCTTCATAAACCTTCAGAAAACCCACTTTTCCATCGTCTACCTGAGACAACATCAGTCAAACTTCAGTTATCTCTATTGTTGTCATTTCTACTGAGTCAGATCCACTCAGCTTCAGTTTGATTGATTTAATCTCAAGCAAACAACAAAAAAATAAGTTTTCTGAAGATGTTTACGGACAAACATGAAAAAACATCAGGCTGTGTTGCGTCAGATGTTGCCGTCTGTTGGTCTCTTTTGTCAGCTTTAGGTGTCACTGAGTCAGTAGTAAAGTCTGGATTTAAAAGATGGACGAAGACACCATGATGTTGATTCGTGAACTTTTTGTTTTGAAGCCTTGAGTTTGGAGTTCAGACGTCCCCATCTTCAAACCGGACGCTGTGAGCGAGTGGTTGTCGTGTCCTCAAGCAAATGTTGCTTCATCGTCTAGTTTCCGCTCCACAAAACCCAACAATCTAAATCCTACATGTGCATGCCAGTTTTAAGCCACATTTTCAGATCTTGGTTGTCTTATCTACATGTTGTAGCGTCATCACAGATTCTAGAAGTTTGAAGTCCTGCAGCAAGCTGACCTCTCATTCACATAATGAGGCTTGTTTTTAGCGCAGGAGCTAGCTTGTTTGTGCTAATCTCCTCAAATCTCTTCTTAAAGCATACCTTTTTTTTTGTAAATCTTTCTCTGATTTACTGGAGATTGTTTTTTTCTTTCAATAACTTTCCCCCTCGTCTGTTTCGTTTGGCTGCCTTGTGAAGCACAGTCACTAAATGGGACAATAATTTATTAAATGAACATCATTCTGTGTTGTTAAAGACTCGAAACTACAGATTGAGACCATAAACTCATTAGACACATGTTTACTGAGGCAGCAAATCAAGTGAGAAGTTCACTTGCTCATAAACTTCTATAGAATTACATCTTTTTGGAGGAGTCGCCCCCTGCTGGCTGTCAGACAGAACGCACGTTCAAGGCTGCGTCCATCCTTCACAAACAGACAGTTTACCAACAAATCTTTCATAATTAGTTTACTGTGAGCAGAAGTGACAGTGGCTCACAAAGTGATGGAAGTAAACCACAGAGGCTTCGTTTGATTCATTAGAGTGAAATAACAGACAACAATTACAGCACATCGTCTCCAACGGGGAGCAGACTTCTCATAATTGACTGTCTGGTGTGATGAGGCCGACCCGCCTGCTCAGGAAGCAGCTCGGCTCCGCAGTCGACGCCGAGTTTCATTTTCATTTCATGCACAACTTTGCAGCCATCACGGCGCTGCAGGGGAGGCGTCTGTGCTTTATTAGGAGCTATTAGAGGGACTCAGCTGGAACTGTTTGGTCACACTCCACTTATTTATTCGCCGCGCAATTAATGCGGTTAGAAAAGTCAACTGGAAAAAACTTTGCTATGAAAAGTATTAGTGGATGTGTCAACACAATTAAATTAAATTAAACAACATGAAAGTGTGTTGTGTGCGCATTGAAACAAATGTGTAGACGGCAAACATTTGCATAAAGGGTCCGACTGAACACTGAAGGGGATGAGTTTCTAACACTGTGGTGGTTTTTATACACCATGTCGTATTTTCTGAGGGTTTTATGTCGGATGTATTTTGCTTCCTGGTTGGACACTTTTTGATTTTGATTAGTAAAAAGCTACTGAATGTGACAATAAT